AATAATTCAACAACCAATGTTGAATAAATTTTTCTAAGAAAATTACTTTTTGATTTTCAACTTTATTGCACTTGAGTTAAATCTTTAATTTTCTTTTATCTTTTTTTGGCTAGTTTATAGATAATTTCTTCTCTCTTCTTAGTATTTAATCTATTTTAAATATCATTAAAAACATAATTTTTAGCGTCATAAATTGTTCTTTTAGACTCCCTGCGGGTCATTTGATATTTTTCTTTTTCTTTAAGTTTTTACATTTAAACTAATTTTTATAACATAACTTCTTATATTTTATCTTTTTTTGCACATTATTATTCCACCACTAAATATTTTTATTTTTAGAAACTTTTTCTTTTGATTTTTCAAGTACATTTTTTGCTACTTATTTAATAGTGTTTGTTTCTTTATCCCACATAGTTTTTTCTTCTTCATGAACGTCCAAAATATAGTGTTTGTTTCTTTATCCCACATAGTTTTTTCTTTTTCATGAACGTCCAAAATTTTGAAATATTGAATTTTACTCATAAAAATAATTTTATCTGTATTTTAGGTTTCACATCTAATTCTACGATGATGAGTCATAGTATTCTTTGTTTTACAACTCTTTATCTTAAAATCTAGAATTAATGATCGATGTTGGGTACTTAATTTCTCACCTGGAATGACCTTGCAATCCTCATAACCTCGCCGATCTCTTTTTCTAGTTAGAAAATAATCAATGTGTTTTATTTGATCCATTATTATAAGTAATAAAATGTACATCTTTTTTCTTGAATAAAATATTAATAATAACAAAATCATATGCTAAAACAAAATTTAAAATGAATCTACCTTCTTCATTAATCACTCCAAAATCGTAGCCACTATGAATATTTGTTAAATTTTCTACCACTCTACCGACATGTCCATTTAAATCTTCTCCGATAAAAATTCTTTCTTCAAAAGGTATCAATTGAATTAAGATTTCTAAGTCATTCCAAAATTTATCTTTAGTATATCTGCAATTATAAAATTAAAAATTTGAGTATCAATAATAATCTTAAAGGCTATAATTCTATCTTCAATTCTTATAATTTTTATAATATTAGCTTTCAAACTCTTATCTATAATTACACGTTACCAGAAAATCAAAGTTTAAAATATAAGTTATCAATCTCATTAGCTTTTTTTCCTACCCATTTAGTTTCTTGAATACATAAGATGTTAATTTTTCTATGAATCATAATGTCAACTAGTTCCATTAATTTATCATTGAAAGTACTTATATTCCAAAATTCTATCATAATATTAGTTTCATTAATTTAATGAAATTATTTTTTTGCCCGCATCCGTCTGTAATGTGGGAACCATTACTTATTGGACACTACACTCGGGGGTCGGTGTAGCGGTCCTTGCACACTTTTCACTGTATTTAGGTCATACAGCGCGTCGCTTCCAAGGAAGATACATTTGATGAATTTTGGGTCTAGCTTTGTTCGATTTGGTTGGTGAATGTGAAAAAAAGAGATCCAAATATGCTTAAGAGGAAGACATTATGAAAAAGAAAACATTATAATCTTTGATGCCTCAAGAGATGTCTATTCTTCCTCTCACTTGTAACATTTTTTTTTTGTGGAGTTTCAACACAGGAACTAATATGGATTATATAATTTTTTACAAGGTAGGGTCCAATGATAGAATTTAAATATTCATTTGCATTATTAGTTTTGAGGATATGAATTTTACATTGGAATTGAGTTAAAATCATGTATGGAAGGATTGAAAGATTTGTACAATTTTAGATTTTTTCTTCATGAGGAATATTCAACTGGTTCTAGTGTAGTTATTAATAAAGGAAATTTGTTGCTCCATTGATGATTTTCAATTTTGATATTCTCCAAATGTCATTATGGATTTAGAGAAAGGATATGAGGATTTATACTGGGACAAATGATAAATATGCCGAGTATTTTTAGCCAATTGGGAGGATTCACATTAATAAAAAAAATTTTATTAAGAAAAAGATGAGGGTACAACTTTGCTTTATAATGAAAATTGGGATGACTCAATTCACATGTCATAATATAACTTAACTTTCAATAAAATCAAACTTGTCAAACTCAGAAATATGGGAAGAAGATGGTGAAGAGGACACTTGTTTGCTAAACAAATACCTTTCCTCGAGTAGGTATAAACCTTGATGCAATTCAACACTACCAATCACCTTTCTCAAATTCACCACCTACAATTCACAAGTGTTAGAATGGAATTTAGCAATATAATTTAAGTCATGAGTAAACTTGTTAATCAATAGTAAGTTGTAATCTAATTAATGAACACATAACAGAAAAGAAAGCTGAATATCTTTGAAGACTTTCAATTCTCATTTTCTAATAATCATGGAGTGCAATCCATTTGCAAGTCTGACAAAGTGTTAGTCGGTGAGCTCTTGGTAGTTGGTGGGAGCATAAGTATCTCCAATCATGTGATTAGAAGTGCCGAAATTTATTTTCCAAGGTTGAAATCTTTCATTTTCAGCGAGATAGGACATGGTATCTTGGTGTATCATCAAGTTAGTATGCCACTTTGTTGTGCTCGAAAGAAGTTTCTTCAACACCTTCAGTTGTTTCTTGGTGAAAAGGCTGGGGTCGGCCAACCCTGCATGGGCATTGATGTTTTGGTCTTTTCTTTCTTAGTTTTCTATGTAGTCTCCAACATCCGTCCTTTGTGTAATCGAGTTTCTTGTACACAAGGGACGACTAACCTCTGGAGTGGAAGTTGACGTCTTCACATCGTACATGATCATAAACCCTATGTGTTTAGAGTTGCAGCTTGTTATAGGGAGGAAGCTGGCCGCAACTGCTGTTGGAAGAAAGATACGATTAGTGGATTGTTACAAAAGAGGAGTTACTTAACTTTTGTTGCTGCATGAGAGGGACGATTAACTTTCGGAGTGAAATTCGTTGTCTTCGTACCATACTTGGTCTTAAACCTTATGTATTGAGGGCTGCAGCTTGTTAACAGAGAAAAAATTGGTCACATGTTCTGTAGGAAGAAAATGCCGGTTAAGTTGCATTTATTGAAGAAGAGTTGGTAACTGCCGCTTCCGCAGGAGAGAGGTTCGACTGCTACTGTTGCTGGAAGAAAGGTTTGGTAAGAATCCGACGGAGAAGGGGCTGCAGTAGGAAGGAATTGGGATGTAGGTAAGATTCGAAGGCAAGAGATGTTCATGTTGAAATCTTGTCGGAACAATCCAGAGGATGCAAAAGGGATTACTGGCTACAGGAAAGAGCTAGTGAAGGTCTGCAGGCCTGTTGAAGGGTTTTGATGGCTGTCAGAAGTTCTTGCTTGTTGAAGTTTTCTTTTGCATGTTGAGGATTTACACTAGTTCCTACAATGGAGAGAAAAATCTTGTTGAGTGAGCGTGCCTATTAGGATTTCCACTAGAGAGAAAATTCAACCGAGGGAATCACCCCTGCTGCGAATCGATCCCGTCGGAGAGAAGGAATCATGGTCTGCTGTGAAGCGATTCAGGAGAGAAGGAATCACGCCTTTTTCAAAGCGAAGTGATCCAACGGAGAGAAGTGCCTCGTGCGTGGTGCAAAGCTATCCGACGGAGAGAGGGCCTTGTGTCTGCTGCGAAGCTCTCAGGTGGAGAGGAAAGAATCACACCCTCTGAGATCGGCTAATAAGGGGGGAGGAGAGGTGCGCCTGCAAGGAGACAATTCGACAGAGACGAGAGCAAGGATTTATATTTTTTTTTATACTGCGAAGAAAGGTGGAGAAAATCATTTTCTTTTATTTATAACTATTCTCCTTATATGATAAGGAATGACTAGGACAAACTTATACAACTAAAACAACTTACCAAAGATAAATTGACTTGAGAAAGAAAGAAATGTGATATAATAAAAAGAGAATACCACTAAAATAGGAAACTAGGAATTCCATTTTTATTTTTATTTTTATTTTTTTTTATTATTATTATTTTTTTTTTTGAAGCAGTCTCTCTAATACTAATGTCATTTTTCCGAAATTTTACTGTTTTAACAATAGTTCCATAACTAATTTTGTTTACAGTTACAACCATCCAAAATAAACTTTTTTCTATGATCTCGCCTATGGATTTTAATAAAACATATAATAGTAACTAGATAATCACAAGTTAAAACAAAATCCTTAGGCTACATAGTATTTAGATATACTAGAATCTCTTTTCTTATGCCTCCTATAATGATTATTTAATCTTCCTTTATACTTGTTGGCATGGAAGATTTTGTTCTTTATACTTATGCCTTAATCCATGTTGATTTTGTTCCACATGTTGCACTAGCAAATTAGAATAAGGATTTATCCTTTTTTTTTTTCAATAACTTGGACCTTTACAGAAGGTTGATCGAAAATAAGGATTTATCTTTTTTTTTTTCAATAACTTGGACCTTTACAGAAGGTTGATCGAATTGTTGAAAGAAATCTTCAATTTATTTTTCCATTTTGAAAGATTTTGGATTCATACGGTGTGAAAAGGAAATTGGCACGTAAGACTAAATGGTAGTCACGTATACAAATTCAATTAAATAATATTTAGATTAAAATAATAAGGATTCTCAGTAGTGCATGGGAAGCATCCCTTGATAGCCATGGTCAAGACTTGCAACATACTTATTTGCTTCGGCTGAAACACTTATTTGAGAAGAAATTAAAGATTTAATCCAAATGAGACCCAAAATTAGAATTTCTCAAAATCTTTCCTCTAGAAAACTGTTTTAATTTCAACAAATTTCCTCTTTTCATTCCATTGTTGTCTTGTTTGCTTTTTTTAAATTTCGCCCAATATTATTCTCCAATTACATGTAAGATGCACATGCTTTGGAATGAAAGGAAGCTTCCCATAGGGATATTAAAAATTAAAAATTAAAATTGTTTTTGTGACTCGGGAGATTGCATGAAATTGAAAATGATTTAATTTTTTTTGTTTTCTACTCGCTTTGTTTCAAACAAAACAGCTCTTGTCATCCTTATAGGCCGACTTGGACCACATGGAGCTTCCAACAACAATTCGACGACGTCTACAAGCTGCAATGCCCATACTCCCTGTTTCCCTTTCCCTATATCCACCTTACCATCCTCCACTAATGCCAACAACAGCACCATCATTATCGCCACCTTTATCCTCTACCTTGGCCCCCTTACATCGATCCACGCCTTCACGTCCTCTCATTAAAAATAAGTCCCTCTCCTCCCAAGATCTCGATAATGAAATTGATCCATGGACATTGCTCGAAGATGGCACAGGCTGTTCTGTTGCTAGTGTTGGTGGCAGTGGAGGCTCAGTCAGTGGAGACCACTCCAATCTGAAGGCCTGCAGTTGGCTTAAGGGAGCCGTGAGGATAAGAAGAACTGATCTGACCTATGTCGGAGTATTGGATGATGAAAGCTGACCACTTTTCTTGTAACAATGTGCTTCTAAAATCTTCCATGGCATGAAAGTTTTTCAAACATGGCATTTGGGGCAAAAGCCAAGGGAATATGGCAACTGCCAGTCTCCTCAGACTGAACCGTTCGTGCAAGAATCAGACGATACCAATACATTTTCTAACATGTCCTGCCTTTTTTCTTTGTATAGGGAATATTGATTTAGTTCTCCATTGAGGCAAGCAAGTCAACTCTGTGAGATGTGCTCTCAACTCCATTTTAATTCATATATCCCCTTTGTCTATTTTTCACATGATATGTTCCAGGTTCTAACGATATCATGGATTTGATAATGCAATTGCTTCTGTTGTCTTTGACTGCTGTATGTGACGTGACAACTCCATCTATCTTTATAAGTACACACTTACAAAGTAGGCAATATTTTCTCATTTGGCTGGCCTGGCTGAAATTGGTGTGATTTTGCTCTGCAGCGCGCCAATCATTTGTTGGTGTAGTTGGTTCATGCCCAAATTAAGAAATTTCTGTATAGTTCTAGTACTATATATATTTCTGCAGCGTGCATGCCTTGGCCTGTTGTTGGCGGGATTCTCCGTAAGTCCCTTCAGGTCAAGGGTTCGAATCCCCGTGGCGCGGTGGTCCTCGAATAATAGCACATGTCTCAGGCTTTTCACCATAGAGCCTAACGCATAATTAATTGGTATTTGGGCCTCTGCCAAATACCGATTCTATATATATATATATATATATAGAAGGAGATTATAAAAATTATATTTAAGATATGAACTACGGAGAATTTAGTTAGTGTACAAATATGTGTTAAAATTATCAGCATTTAAATAATAAAATTATGGAACAGCTTTGATGTTTCCTAGTAAGTTTAGCTGAAGTTTAATTATAAAATTACGGGGTTTGATTGGAGTTCTTGATTTTGTAACATTTTTATCATTACTTGAATTTATTTAGGGAAAAAAAAATTCAAAGTAGAAGAAATTAAATATATTTTTTATTTTTGTATTTGCTTCATTTGAATGTATTTAATGTTGTGTTGTGGAAGTTGTCATGTTCATTTTCTTATGTGATATTGTTTGTTTCTAAGGGAGGGAGGGAGAGGGTGTTAAACGCAATTCTTTAATTGATTTAGATTTATAGTAGACTCAATTGATGCCTTAGATAGAGAAGGATATGTATGCTATATTAAATTGAGTGATTGATTTGATGGAGATTTTAGAATGATTTCAATATGAAAGTCTTTAGATCAAAATTATAATCTCATGTTTGAGCAGTGATTTGTTTATATTCAAGGGCTAAAATCAGCAGCAAATGTGGCTCCATGATATCGTTCATACAAAAAATAGATTATATATTAGTTATGTAGTGATTAAACTTAGTTGATTTTTGTCTATTAGGAGGGGGAAATGGCAGTTCCATTTTAGTTTAGATGAACGATTTGTTCTGTAATCAGTTCTCAAGTACTTACACAAAGAATTGATAAATAAATGAATTGGCTAATGTTGTTTATGGGTGCATTAATTTCAAATTTCATTGTACTGCTCGAAAGGGCATGAGATAGAAGTGAAACTAAGATCTTAGCTCCCAATCTCAAGTTTCTTGTTTGTATGTTGCAGATAGCGATATCGAAGCCTGAGTTACGGCTCACGTCGTATATGAGCGACCAACTTAGCTAAATTATGATGTATTGAATATAATATGCCTTGTGGGTGAGTTACAACTTTTAGCTGTGGACAATTTCTTACTTTGGTTGAGTTCTAGCTTGATGAATACTATGTTGTAGTTACTTTGAGCGGATTCATATTTAATGAGTTCTTGAACTTGGCCGAAGATTTCGTAATGACTTCCTAAATTTAAATGAATGTGTGTGTACGTTAGTTCCTTAACTCTCATATTCCTTTTGTGAAGTCAATGCAATTCCATGAACTAGGCCATGCTAGTCAAGATTAACTCGCCAGTAAAGGCCAACTTCGCAATGAAGGTTTTCACTAATGTAGGTTAACTTCAAAATAAAAGGATAAAACCTAATCATTGGATATCGGGTGTGATATGTAGAGGCATGAATCATCTATATTAATGATGCAGAGCACATGATAGGGTTGTTGTGATGTGGAATAATATTCTTAATATGCTTGTTCCTTCATATGGGAAATGGCCATGTGGCACCTCTAGAATGTTTGGACTAGCGGACAATCTTTGGGTGCTTTGAATGAAGGTTTCAATTGTGTTAAGCCTTGGGAAATGAAGAGCGGAACTAGGCCATGATATTGGTCTAGCTATCTCATTTTGATATCTTGGTTGAGGAATCTTGAGCAAGTTTATTCCTCATATAGCTTAGTAGTTTAAAAAGTAGAGCTGACTTGTACTTAGAATCAATTCAAATCTAATTGGTTCTTGATGATAGATTGACATATATAATGACTTGAAATTGATCATGACATACAAACAATTTATAAGTGTAAAAATAAGGCATTAAACTTTCACCATAAATTTGCAGCTCTATTTATAAGACCTTCTTAGCAATATTGACGTGCTATTTGAATGTGGTTTTAATCTTTTTCTCATGTGGGCTTTCCTTTTTGGCTTAAATAGAAATAATGAAAAATAACCTTGGTGATATAGTCCAAGTACTCCTTCAAAAGAAGAAAAGGACCTAAAATGAGCATAAGATGAAAAGCATCATGACTGATATTGAGGGTGATTGTAGAAAACTCGGCGGTAAAGATATAAGTGAGAACTATAATGGTGGTGGTTGCTTTAGAAGAGAAAACTACCAGAGGGGTGGCGGTAATTATGAAGGTGGAGGCCATGATGATGTTGTCTATGGAGGTGAAAATAAATGAGGAGATTTTTTATAGTGAAAGATGATCTTGGTTGAATATAGTTGTGTAAAACTTATAAAATTGGCTCCGTTTTACAATGGTGCCAACTTTCTTTTTAAGTCCTAAATATCGATCCCATGAAGAAGGTTTAAATTTGAAATGATAAATTAATTAAAAAATTTATAGAAATCAAACGAAATTACTATCATTAATTTCGAATGTTTAAGATATCACTAAAGCTAAATTATTTACTAGCAGAATTTAAAAGAATGTTTTAAAATTAATAACTACTAAACTATGTTTATGTTATGAAGTTTTCTATGAAAATGCATCTTTCACACTACAATGAGCTTTTTGGTGAAATGAGATGAGATAAATGGTTTTAATATGTATTATGGCAAATATAAGCAATTTTAATTTTCTACCCTAATTCATTGTTATAGAAAATCATTGGCTAATCTTCTGTTTAGTCCCTAAATCAGTGGCTAGGCTAGGAGGATACCGACTCCCACTCCAGAGCTCTCACTTTCCTTCTCCTGAAGACTAACTCTCGCTTTAGTTTTTAAACACTAAGATCGAATTGGGGATTTTGTCTGTCACCCTAGAAATCTCCATTTACATCCAACAAAGTATATTTCCTTATTTATTTTCACTTAATTCCATGAACGAAATACTCCATAGATTTAACTGTGATTCTCACTCTATTGTAGAACTCATACTCCATTTCCTGGATCATATGTTTCACAACATATTTTAACTATTCAATTGGTCAGATCGAAAAGTAAATTAAAAGCGGACTTGCAAAACCATCAAATTTATTTTAAATTTTAATATTGGTACATCAACATTATCTCTTCATTTCACCAAATCTCGCAACAATAATAAAAAAACAACACTTATCTGAAACTCTTCTCAAAATAAATTCTTTGTAGTCTCTCTTAAGAAATGTAGAAATAATAAATCTCTCACTTCTCTTCCTCTTCAACTTCTTAGAGAAGATTTCATATTTAAACTCACAATAAAAACTCAAAGCTATAAAAAAATAACTAACCAAAGGTGTTGAATGGCGTGAAATGTAGGCGTGTGAAGAGGAAAACTGAAAGGGGGGGGGGGGTTCTCTAATCAAATTTCGGCCCTAAATAGAGTATAGGTTGGTTCTCCAATAGATGCTTCCAAAAAATCTTCAAAAAGTGTCCAAATTCATTGAATCTTCTAGAAATAGGGCTTCCACCGACATAAGAGCTGTCGGCGCCCATCCTGACGCCATCGATGCCAGTGCTCTAGTAATTAATTTCCAAGTCTCTATCAAATGGCGTCTCGGAGCCCAATCTTGTTCTGCATCCTTTCTATAGGTTTGCGCCATCGGCGCTAACTCTTGTTCTGCATCCTTTCTATAGGTCTGCGCCATCCGACGTCATTCTGGTGCCGTCGGTGCTGAGTAATTCTTCCAAATCTTCATTTTTGCTTCAAATTCCATCCTTTTTGCTTCCTTTTTGCTTCGAGTTTTAAAAAATAACAACCTGCAAGAAACATAAAAAATACCTTCCTTTAAAGTAGAATATCACCAAAAATGGGTATAAAATATATGTCTAAAAATGCATATATTTTTGGTGTATCTAAAGATAACAAAATAGAAGAGCTACTATACGAAGAAGAAAATAATTCTAGGGGAAAATACAATAAGCCTTGATATAGGAGATGGTCTTGGAGGCTCTAAGCATCCTGATTAAGTTAAAAAAGATGGAAAGTCTAGTGGCTATTAAGTTCAATGAGAAAATTAAAATACAATCCCCTACTTTAGGGGCATATAAGGGATTCTTTTTTTCTGCTTTACACCTAATAAGATTTTAGCATTCATATTAGATTGTAGAGATGGATAGTGACATTATCATCTCCCATAGATCATGGGGTGGTGCTATCAAATTGATATATATATATCAATAAATATCAGATGTATTTTATTTCCTTAAGGTAAAAATGTGATGAAGATTAGGGGACATATGCCATTGTGAAATATGATCATGTACAAGGTTGCAATTATTGAATGATTTGATGAATGGATGAACTCTAAGATTTAGTTACAAAGGCATGAACCACTTTTATTAGGGATGAGCCATTGTGATAGTGTTGTTGTTACAACATATCATTAATGCATGGTTCTCTTAATTTAAGATGTGGCAAAGGGCCACCTTCATAGTAGTCGTATAAGGAGACAATGATTGTTGACATGTTAGACATAAAAGATGGAATTCTTGAGAGCTCTAAGATTGCATAGAAAAGGAGATTTTAGGAAAAAAGTTCTTGAGTTATGTAATATGTTAGAAAGATTTGGGAGAAATAATCAACTTGGGAAGAGTAAAACTAAACAATGTTGTTGGTTGAGTTCTTCTGTTGATCCATTGAATTGAAGAATCTTAAGCAAGTTGATTCCCTAGGAAGTTAGGTAGTATTGGCCTCATATGAAGACTAATTTATATTTGAATGGCATATGGTGTTAGTCTAACCAAACCCAAAATTTTTTTTTTTGATTATTTTGTGTGGAACTTTTTGATTGAGTATAACTAATACATCTCGTAAAT